GGGGGGGGGTTCTTTTTCTTTTTTTCCTTCTTTTTCTCCTCTTCCCTCAACAAGAACACTTCTCAGCCCAGCCAGGGCAGGGGGAGCACTAACACAGCGCTGTTATGACACGATAAGGCCAGTTGCTGCCACTGAGCCATGCAGATTTTTGGTACATCTCAAAAGAACAAAATTGAACAGTATTTGTTTTCCCCTTGTTCTTTTCAGAGTATATCATCAACCCACGCCACTAGCACAAGCAGTGCTATGGTGTTCAGATGCAGCAAAAAAGACAGAATTTGCTAACTGCAGCTAAAAAAAAGGATCCGTCACTAAAAAACCAACAGCTACTGGATGTACCAAGTTTTGCAACAGCAGCAAGCAGACAGAAGCATATGTTGCAAACACTTGAACTGGTTTGACACCATTTTGGAGGAGCAACCAATACGATATCTCATCTCATTCCTGATATTTCTTGCCAAGGCACAGCTGCACAAAGCGAATTAAAGTTCACAGCTCCCTCCCTCGCTTGGAGTTAATCTTATTGAACCAACTCAGAAATACAAGTTTCTAACCATTTTAACTTATATTTTTGCGCACATGCAACATACCGTCTACTTAAGTCTTGGCACCCTTTTTTTATAGCGCTGGCAACCATTAGAAATGTTCACGACCACTATCCAAGGAGATAAGTGAAACAGTCACACTTCAGAGTTATGCTACATTAGAAAATGTTTTGGTTTAGTCTACTTCAAATCAGGGTGAAGTTCATCCAGGATGGGAAAGCCTGCATAAGCCAAAGTACCCCAGAGATCATTTTATAAAAGCTTATATTTTTATTGACTTTCTGTGGGGTGTTTTGCAGAAAACTGTAAATGTATCTACCAGATCTGGGCTGAGGGACACTTGGGAAGCAGCTCCCAGGCCTTGCAGCATTCCCATTTGCCAACAGCAACTTGAATCCAGCACGGGGGCCTCGGTACCTGGTCCAAAAGGCCCCCCCCGATGGGAACTAAGAGCATGAAAATAAATCAACAGAAACTGAAAGACAACAACAATCAGTAAGCTCTTTTTCCATGGCAGAAAAGTACAGAGGCGATCGTAATTCCCACAGGCGCATCCCTGACAGAGGCTCCTTTAGCCAAAACAAACCACCCTTAGGGTTTTGAAGCACAAGTCCAAACTACCACAACTGCTACCGCCACTAGAACAAAAAATACGTAAGCAGCTCCTAGGCCAGCCCAAAACCTACCCGCCACCTGTCACCATAGCTCCCGATCAGGTTTGTCAGGTTAGAAAAGTTCCTTAAAAGGATACCAGGTAGTCGGAGGCACAACATTTGATCGGCAGAATTAAGGAGCTTGTATGTACACTTGAATATTTTTGTCCGGACTATGTTGTGCCACAAACTGAGCCTTTGAATTTCACGTAAAACACCAGCTGCTACACCTTTCCCTGAAGTTTCATGATTGTCACATTATTTTGTTAAAATAAGCAAAGAAACAAATAAACCAGTCCCCCAAAAGCACTCATGTCCTTCTGCAGATCAGGTACAGTTTGGAGACACATTACACAACTTCCATAATGTACCAAGATTAAAGATGATAAATTAAGTCAGAGTTTGAGATATCAACTTTCCTTAAAAAAAGGAAAGAGGAATGTCTGCAGCTGTGAAATTGGTTTAATTGCAGACTTAGAGATGAGAGCAAATTCTCCTGGTGGTTTCCTCAGATGTTAACACTAGAGGGCACTGCTTATTTCTTTATTTTAAGAAGGAAAAGGCACTCTGTCCCTTCAGGGCAGCTTCCCACTGACTGAGCAGTAGTGCTCAGGATGCCAAGCTGGCACTTCGGTGACCTTGAAACCCAGCTTTTACTCGTAGACTCTAGGAAATCCTGAGAAGTTAAAAAGCATCAATCAGCATTGCCAACTTCAAACATTCAAAATCAGAATCAACTCGTCTGAAACAAAGCAAATACAAACCCGGGTACTATTAGAAGCTTAATTTTTATTTTCCGCTTTTGTAGCAACCAAGAGCCACATTTGTTAAATCATTCTTTGCATCACAGGGCCGAGATATGTTTCCTTAAAAGCTCCCGAGATTCTTAGCTCACCGCTTGTCTGCCCGTCCCAGTGCTCTAGGCAGAACACCAAATACCACCAGACTCGTGATATAAACATTCACACGTGACAGGTAGCAACCTAAATGGACTACTTTTCTTCCGTTAACAGCACTTTGGGAGTGAAAATGATTCACATTAGAAGAAAACCATGATTTATTACTCGGCTTCTGTAAAAATAACTCTCCTAGAGAGAAAAGAAAAATAACGCACACCAGATGAAAAGTGATTTCTCCAGATGAATCTAGAGAGCCTAGTAATCACTGAGGAGGTGAGGCAGTTTGGTTTGCAACTAGCATATTTTCAGAAATGAAGAGAGAAAGAGAAGCCTTTTAAAGATTTTCATTTCATCTTACTGCTGATAGCTTTCAAAGGGTACTATATATTTTCCAAGACGACCTTCAGAGGATCGAGTCTCACTGGGTATTCATCTCTTGACTATAGGGGAACTGGGAGTTTTTTAAGCAAATAATAATTTACTCTTTTACTCTTAATACAATCATTGACTTTTCTTCTACTTTCTATGGGAAAAATTAATGTTTTCAATCCACAATAAAAAACAAAAAATGAACTGGCTGAATATTGCTTGGTGCAGTCCCATGTGTAACACCTGACCTCTGACCGACCGGGTACCATTCTCCTCCCTTCCTCTTCCATCACACCCATTGAATTAGTCCCTAGGATATAGTAATTTATGTAGCATCAGCTTTTGAGCTATTGGCAAAGGCTAGTGAACATCTGGCTGAGCACAAATGGGAGTTGCTCTGCTTCACTTGCTGCTGCCTGAATGACCTCCACATTTCCCATCCATGCCTCTTTTCTTCAAACTATAATGTCAAGATGAAGCTCCTTTCCTTATAAAAACATAAAAGGGAGATTAACTCTACCTTTGATTACATTAGCAGGGTAGCTGGTGCAGATCTAATTAAAAAACCTTTTAAATATTTCCTGCCATTCATTTCTAAAGTCGTTGCATGGGACAGAAGTAGCCATGTTCTCTGGCTTCCACTAAGCGCTAGAAATCAGGCCAGCGCTTGGAAACTAAAATCTTATTTCTTGTCCTTGCAAAAAAGAAAAAAAAAATTCATTAGTCCTTACAACGAAGTAATCGTTAAACTGTCCTTCAGAATTTAAATCAACTGCTCGCAAGTTTCCACCAGTAGTGAAGGAAAAATCAAAAAGTAAAAAATAAATAAAAAAAGGTTTCAATATTCAAAAACCTCGGTCGTCTTGTGAATGATGAGTACCACACTTCCAAGTTCATTACTATGCTACTTTAATTTTAAGTGGGTCTTATTCTACCTCAATCAGTGGATTTACACAGCTGTAAACCTGGGTCAGAACTGGAGGAGCAGAGCGGTAAATCAGGCTGCAGCCCTGAAGACGCACTTCAGGGAATAACCCGAGAGGCTTCACTGGACTCTAAAGTGGGCCCATGAGTACATATGGGGTTGCAGATCTATAAAATTAC